TTCTCTGAGCTTTCTGTTCACTGTCTTAAGGATGAATGAGGTAAATGAATATAAAGAACCAGGCAGTATTCAGCACAGATTCACAGCCCTGGGATTAATAGTATTTATTTTGGTGACAGTTTTTTGTAATCTGTAAACTGTGGTTTGTTTTCATCCATTTGTGGGATACATGCTTTAGGGGAAAGATTCCTCTCCCATCGGGAGTTATTCCTTCTTCCTTTGAAAGACCTATTACTATCTATATTCATATGCCATCAAATAGACTTGCTTTCTTCATACTATTGGAGGTTGAGGGGAATTTTTAGAATACCACTCGAAAATAATCTGAAACTGAATCTACAACTAAATTAAACTGTTCCAATAAAAAGTGCCTAGCGCAGGCCTGAGGACAGCCTGAAGGGAAGTTTTTATCCAGCCCCTGAGAGGTTCCTTGACATGGCCTTGCCACCTGCAGCCTGTGAAGGGACTCAATAGGGTGATGTAGAGCAGTTGAGGAAACCTGACATGAAATGGCCACAAAATATCTGTTTTCATGGAAGTGCTAGATTTAAAAAAAGAACTACAGCATCAGACTCAGCTTTAAGACTTTAAATGTGGTTCTAAATTTATACATGTTTGGTTTTTCTCATCTATACTATGATTTCTATTCATTGGTTTCTCTCTCTTTCTCTCAGGACCACCGCACAGTCTCAAGTATAGTGAGGTCAGGAAAAATTCCCTGGTTCTCCAGTGGAAGCCCCCACTTCACTCTGGGCGGACTCCAGTCACTGGTTACTTTGTGGACATGAAGGAGGCAAAAGCCAAAGATGACCAGTGGCGAGGACTCAACGAGGCGGCTATTAAAAGCAACTACCTGAAGGTGAGGGAATGCTCATCATTCTAAAGTATGCTTTTTTCCTTTAAAAAGGAAAAATGCTCTACTAATGATATTAACTTTAAAGTTAGCAAGATAAAACATTATCTCTGCTTTGGTCTGCTCACATAATGGACTCCTGGTAAGATTCCATTTGGCAGTGGTTGGGGTTGAGGAAAGTTTCTGATGCTTGAAACAGTTTGGTTACATTTAACCTGAATTCCTTAGCCCAGCTTTGAATGACATCCACCAGCTCCTTTCTCTCTCCTTTCTCTCCTTGCCTTAGCTCACCCACCTTACATTTTTGTTACCCATTCTTAAAACATCACTGCTTACCATCCTCCAAAGTGACTTTTTCATTCTGACCTCTAATTCTTTTTGAGGGTGGTTTTTCTCTGAGGGTGCTAGAGTTCACACGAGGAAGCCTGTAACTGCTAGTTCCCTGGAATCATGCCCTGTCTCACTTCACTTGCTCCCTCGTGCCTGAGCTCGCAGAGATAAGTGAAATGGGTGCACTCAACTCTTGACCTTGTTCTCACCTTATCTGTGTCATTGTCTCCCAGGTGCCTCTAGAGTGTGCTAACTGAACTGTCTACCAGAGACTGTTCTGCTGTAACCATTGAATTTCTCACTTATACAAAATGGAAATCTCAAAAGAATGTCTTCCCCTGTTGTTAGCAGTGGCACCTGGAGACCCTGAATCCACAGTAGGCCTCAGAAACTGGGGGGAATATGATTCTATTGCTTATTACTGAGAATGAAATTTGACTTTACCACATTCAGAAAGTTGCACACTGCATTCACACAGCCTTATCTGTTGGCAGAATAGGCTACTTCCTATAGGGTGTGCCTTGGAAGACGTTCAGAGTATAACTGATCTAAAAGATCTCTCCCTTCAACCTGCCATCATGGACTAAGTCCATACACTCTGTCAGCCACTCTGGGGTTAAGGCATTTACAGTCACTATGAACAGTGTAAGTATAACCCCCAGGAGAGGTGAAGCATCACACCCAACCTGCCATTAACTCAACCGAGCATATGCCAAACAGTTCTCCAGCCCCCTTTAAAAATTGAAGAATTAAGAAATCCCATCTCTTCATGAGGGAGAGAAAAGGTCAAGGAAGGACTGGAAATTAGGATGCTATTTGGTTATCCAGATGAGTCAGGAGGCCTCTAGATTCAAAGAGACCCCCTAAGGACAGAGTAAAATAAAGGTCAGAAACATCCTGATCTTTGATGGTTGTGGTGGGTGTATGTGGCTGGGAGGAGATTTCCAAATCCTTGGTCTGGCACAGCACAGAATTCTGAGAGCCTGAGGTTAGACATAACTCAGGTGAAACAGAACAAGGGTGAGAAGCCAAGCAAAGGAGACCAAAAACCTAGAAAGAATCACAGAGTTTAAACATACCAAAGAACAGTTAATACCACTCATTTAAAAACAGAAAAGGAAGAAAGGCAAGTTTAGTAGTGAGAGAGACACAGGCTGAGTTTACTTCATAAGCCTGGAGGTGAACTTCCATAAGGCTTTAATTACCTAGAAGCTGGAATGAATGTCAGTTTCTGCTGGAAGCACCCACATTCATTCCAGCTTCTAGAGGTTCCTAGAAAGAGTTAGAAAAAGATGCATTACCTTCAACCAAAGGATTTAACCAAACATAGTTCATGCTTTCTCATTTTCCTTTTTCATTGGTAATTACAGTCTGGAAAGACAAGATGGTGAGATGGGAGTAATTGGAAGGGGTAGAGGACACGGAGGGAGAAGGCAAGGGAATGCAGTCTCTTTGGAAGTTGTAAGGAAGGAAAAAAATCCAAGAAACAGAAAATAGATGTGCATAGATTATAAAGATTACGTGTTTGTGGTGCTCTTGAGGTCAGTGGTCATTGCCCCTGTAGTGATGGAGTGTGGAAGAGTGCTCCTGCCGCCCTGGTGACTGGACGCTGGAGTGTGGATCTACTTCCTGTGTGCATTGCAGAAACCTGACTCACAGCCACGTTACCTAAGTGGCAGGTGCAGATGTGTCAGGCACCTGGTGATGGGTCTGGTTTTATCACAACAAGGAAATGTTTCTATTCCTTTTTGGAAATCCGCAGTTTCCTGTTACTTCTAAACATGGAATTTAAATATATCAAA